CTTTAAAAAAACTACTAAGCACCCATACATAGTATCTTTCTGATGAAAAATGAACGAATATGCACAACTTTGTGAAACCGGTAAAAACCGGTGAAAACCGGCCGGTCCAACTCACTCAACCGGTCCGGTACGGCCGGACCAGACCGGTTACAACTCTGCTTTGCAGTAGTAATACCCGAAAAAATGAGCATTCGCACGCACTTTCAACTAGAAATGAAGTAACAGCTATTTTGTAGAGTTTTGAAAGAGCTTTCTTTTGATATATAACGTAGACCGTAACCTGGGTTCTTTCACGGTGAAAAAGTTGAAATACTATCGTAGACTATGCTGAAAAGGTCATTTTTAACGATAATATTCCAAAAACGTGGGTGTTCGCAGTTTATATGACAATTGAGCAATAGACAGTTTTGTTCGTCGTTTAACACTGCATCGAATGGTCTATAAAACTTTCCTTCAAACTTGTTGTGCTCTGAGAAAATTATTAAAAACGTCTCGGAATGGCCTCGTGGAGCTACTGTTCAAAACTAATCGATTTTCTGACAGATATGAGGTTGTAGACCAAGGTTGTAGAACCCCATAAAATTGTATGCCCTTTCATTCTAGATACCGTTCGAGAAGATCTGAAATGGGGCCGATCCTCGTTCTTATTGCACCCCGTCCTTTGTTAATACTACGTGGAAACAACCTGAAAACCCCAGTTTTTTTAAAACTCCACTTTCACCAGATTTTCGGATTCTTTCCTAAAAACAAATGTTGCTATGAGGTTCAGCATACCACGTCCGAACTGCCGAAAACCAAGGTCGCGCTTGGTTTCCATTTTAAAGAAGACACCTTAGACTACCTATCCATGAAGAAAAACAAAATATTTTTATTAAGAGTTTTTTAGTAATAACATGATTTTCTAACGATTCTCTGAAAAATCTACTTTGATAGAAGATTTTCAAAATGACGTTCGCGATGGAAAGATGCGCTCAGATCTTAGCTTTCAATTAGCGAAGAACGCAATCCTTTACCACTTTTTTCTCAAGCATTATTCAAGAAACGTCCAAGTCCGTTCTTTTTTTCCTGACAATAGCTAGGTGACTACGATGAGGTTTTTCGCTTTTTCACTGATCCGTAACAAGCATCTTTTATTGAAGTAAAATTTCATAGTGGATTGAGTACCGCAGAAATTCAAAGTGAGAAATATATCTGCATTCGAAAGATTTTATTTCCACAATAGCTTATTAACAATCAACTGCTATATGATAGGATATTAGTCGTGTTTAAGTTCCGTAAGATATCTCCATAACGCTAAGTTCGATCTGGAAAAAGCTTTCACTACAATTCTGGCCGTATCCAAGTAGAATTATAAAATCTATTTAAAGGTTTTGCCTGTTCAAACCTTTTCAGCATATTGCTTGAACCCGAATCAAAATCAGGCATTTAGATTTGAATAGATTTCAAGAAGCCGAAATACTTGAGTTGGTCTAAAATTGTTGGTATATCGATGTTAGAGTGCATAATGTTTCACACGACATTTACACTTCAAAAGTCGTTTAATACATATCTAGATTTATTAATTTATCTTTGATGATCTAAACGAATATACTCCAGAAAGAAAATAATCTTCAAATCGTTCTAGTATCCAGAATATAATCAGTCTGCCACTTTCATTAATGACGGATGAAAGTGATGATGGCGCTCAATGATATTAGGATGAGCGGTAATATCTGGTAATAGAAATTGTTTTAATCATCTATACGATAAGAATAAACGAGTTGGATAAGTTTTATAATTAGTTCAAATGAGGAAAACATTTTACGTCAACAACCTGGAAACTACTACTCAGAAAATTTTAAGAATCTCTGAATCAGTTAAAAGCAGAAGACTAAATCGAAAATTGGGCTCTTTTATGTCACTGCCAGTAGCTCCAAATGAAATCCCTCCCAATATCAGAAGGGTATTCGTCCAAGGGGTAGCACGATTTTTTCGAAAAATAGTTCGATATACAAGATCATAATAGAAGAGCATTACCTTTTATTCTAGGAGGGGTGTAATAGTCAGAATACCGTTACAAATGTTTTTGGAGTCGAAGTCACTATCAATATGAATCTGCTATTGAAATAATTAAACGTCAGAAAACTTATCACCAATATCAACGGGCGCCAGTACAATTTTAATGTTCGATTTCAACATTAAGGTAACCTGAAATCGAATTATATTGAACTGTTGTTGTTAAAGCAATCAAGTTGATCTATAACCAACTTGATTGCAGAAATGTCATACTTTTGTCTTTGTTTAAATGGTTTACTTTCAGTTAGTCCCAAATTGACTTCTCAATTCGTTCCATGAAGCTTTTTTTCTCAGTTCGTCCCATCAACACTTCTCTCTCACATCGTCCCATATTAGTTTACACTTAATTAACTTTAAGATAATTGTCCGTACCTCTTACGTATGGTGATAAATAACAGCAATATCAATGAGGACTTTGACGGTATCTGGTTTGCATGTGTGTGCTGATTCATTCCGTAAAATTCTCACATCGTCTGTACATAATGATATTGTACCTGAACACGTTTAATTCCGACACCGTCATTGATTATTTGTTTTGTGCGCTCGTTTTTTGGTGTATTCGAACCCATTATTATTCAAAACTGGTTTGTCCTTTTCAATAGACATGAAAATTAACATTTTGATGAACAAGACAGTTTAATTTATTTAGATTTAAATTTGTGATAGTAGTGGCTAACATGGCACATTTTGCCACGTACGCGCACCTAGTATTGTCTGCAATACCCACCGTCGCCGTCTAAATTGTTCGATGGTACAATACTTTACTTATTTTGAGGCGCCAGCATAGATATCTGGGACGAATTGAGAAACATAATTCTGGGACGAACTGCGAGAGAAGTGTTGATGGGACGAACTGAGGAAAAAAGCTTCATGGGACGAATTAAGAAGTCAATCTTGGACGAATTGAGGGAACATCGTTTAAACATGTCGATTTTTCTAAAATAAAACACTTCTCTTCTTTTACAAAGAGAGAAATAACACAATAAAATAAAATAAAGTTAACTTAAATATACTTAAGGGGGTTTAGAAGAAAGTAGGCGATTTCTGACGCTTCGTCGAGAAGAACTCGCCTAACTATTCACAAGAACATCACCTAGAACGTGAGACGCTCCATTTATCCAAATTGACATCTATAATTATCTGTTTGATTATATTATTTGAACGAAGCATATATTTATTCGGGGCTTTTAGAAAAAAGAAAATCATCAAAGATCTTAGATATTATCAAAAGCAATATGAATTGTCATATACAGTCTGGTCCTAAACATGTGTTTTTTTTCAAAAATCGATATTTCTGACAGATGATGAGCACAAGAATAATTTCTCTTGAATTTTTAATTTGTTTCAATACTCTCAACAATACTCGCTGACACATCGATCAATCATACAAAAAAAAATTCAAAAATATCTTCGTTGTTAAACGTTTGTTATTCATTATATTCACCAAGACACCTATGATGAAGTCTAAAGGCTAATTATCTGTTGTACACAGGTATACGATGTTTATATTATTGATACAGAAAAAAAGTTGTATAAGTTACATTTTCGAGAAGAAAAAAAAAAGAATTGAAAAGAAAAGTAACAGAGTTACTTCTTCTGCACATTACAGAAAACTACAAAAAAAAAGACCATCAAATACAGAAGGGGAAGAATGCGAGACAAAAAACTGATGAAGCATGGATAGTAATTTATATATCAAACAACAGGTTTTGAAAGCTAACATAATCATCAAACGTGTGAATGACGGGACAAGTACTAGAAAAACAAATTATTTTCACTCGTTAAGAATACACCCTTTATTATTATTATTTTGTTCATGACTTTTGTTTATGATTATTGACAATATAAAAAAGGTATCATCGACTTGATTTAAATAGAACCAGTATAAATACAAAAAATAAGTCCTATTATTAGAAAATTTTAAAATTAAAAAACAAATATTGCTCGTCTAATATTCGGCATTTAAAAAATGTATCGTTCTAACAATGGCCATGATATTCAATATTCCACTATGTATAAATCGGATCGAAATGATCGACAATATGATGACCATCGTAAAGGAGATAGTCAATATCCAATCGATTTTGTTCCTGTTAAACCTCTTAAACGTATTGATTTAAATCAGCCAAATTTTCAAACACCATTTCATCCTGATTATCATAATAAAAAAACAAATTATTCCAAATTACCATTAACATCACAGAATGATCAAAAAGGATTTACATCTGATATTAGTCAATCAAATAATAATCTTATGAGAGAAGTAAAAAATCAAGATCATAAACCATCTGTCGATTATCCATCAAAAACTCAATATTCCACATCTATACCACAAAATGTAGATTCAGATCTATGGTTAAAACAGCAAACTACGCCCATTATTTCTCAAAATTCTGTCTCTCCTACTTCTACAACGTTTCAGCATCAAACTATCAGACAACAAAATACATTTATTCGAACTCAATCCACTGAGAGAAAAAATCGTCCACTAATTAAAACTTATTCATTTAATACAATAAATTCACAAAAAAATGAAAAATCTGAAATTAATCAACGTCCACTTGAAAAATTATATGAAAAAAAATATGATTTAATCAGTCAAGAAATGACTGATGGTAATCTTTTATCCTTCAGGAATATATTTTATATTGATAATCTGTTTTTGTTACAGATCATCATAGAAAAGAACGTCATGAATCATCTCAAACCCGTCAAGAAAATTCACCGTTTGAAAAACAAGAAGAAAAGTCAAAAATATTATCTTCCCATGCAAAAAAGGTTTGTGACAAATTAGAGAAAGTATTATTCTAAGATCTTTAAGTTTTTTTTATCTTCTAATCTAAACGTTTCTATTGAAAATCAGTAACTTTGTCGCGTGAAGTTGACGTCTTGACAACCGCTCTCTCTCTCTCCGCTAATAGTCAGTCTCTTTTTATTTGGTGAATTTTTTTAACTTAAAAGCATTTAAAAGTTATATATTATTGACTAAGATTTTTTGTACCTCTCTTTTTAAGTGAAACCGATACTTTAACGTTTACTCTCTTGTCAAAAGTTATATTGATGCTATCGTTTCTTTGCTAAAATCAAGATCAATGATTAATCTATGTAAGGTCTTTTGTTAACGATCTATTATAATCTTACCAGACTCCCACTAGGATGCTATAGGAATCCTGCTATCTTGCTCGTTAATAGATATTTTTCGATGGATCGAACATCTACCACTCTTCTATAGGAATCTCACAAGAAGTTTAGGATCTTTCGAGATCTTACAGAACGCCTATAGAATCCTTGTAGAATCTGTACAGAATTCTGTAGGATCCTGTCATAGAACTATTCGACGTTGTTGCCTGCCTAGACAGTTGAATTTTGATATTTAATCTTATAAGATCACACAAGATCTTCCAAGACCATAGTGGAAGATTTGGTAAGATCTTGTGATACGAACTTGTATGAACTTGGAGGAATGCACAAGGCCATTTCATAGCATCTTATTAGGAATTCACCCATCTATCTAAGCTGATATTATTGCTATTCCTCCTGTCGGTTCTTTTATTGATATTTTCTCGCATTGACAGAACACAGTGGGCAATTCTGACTAGGCACACGGACATGTGTCATCAAAGCGATACGGAAGCTTCTAAACACTATTTTTATAGATTTTCGTATATACTCTTTGCAGTGGTATGATTTAAAAGTTCA